TCTACGCAAAAATGGATCATGACTTTCTTGATGATTCAATATTTTTTACTTGAGAAATGTTGAGTGTTTTGCTATTCTAGAGTTATAATCTGTAAGGGTGCAAAGAGAGATAAAGGGAATTTTATAAGCCAGGGAACATCAATATCAATATCTTCATAACAGAAATAAATCCTTGGACTACGACTCTCACAAACAGAAATTGAGTGAAAGACAACAGGCATAAAGCAGTGCAGCCTGTGTGAACCCATTCATACAATGTTCAAGAAAAGGCCAATCCAACCTATGGGGATGGAAGGCAGTGGAGTGGTGCCTTTTGGGGGAGCTGGGAGAAAGTGGGGAGAGCCTGCTGGGAGCCAATAATGATCCACAGCTTGATCTGAGTGGAAGTCACATGTGTGGGCACACACAGAAATAACATATTGAGCTAGATGCTCAGGACTGTACATTTTAATGAATATAGTGTCTACATAAGCACATGAGAATAAACAAGCGTAGGGGCCGGCAGGTGGCGTCATGGTTAAGGGCGCTGGACTCCCACATGGCCAACCATGATTCAAATCCAAGACCTGGTGGCTTGCTTTCTCGCTTTCTTTTTCTCTGGTCAAATTAAATAAGTGAGTTAAATAAAACCATTTTTTTTTTCCTTTTAAAAAGAATACACTAAAAACTAATGTTCGAAAATGTCACTGTTGATTTTGGTCAGCAGCTTCCCAGAGGGGAGAGAACTGGGTTCTGAGGAAGCAGCTTTGGGGAAAAATCCACACTTCACAGGGGGTGTCATGAGTATTATATTAGAGAGGCAGGAAGAGCGCCTGGAACAGGGTCTGACAATGGAGTGAGCAGTCAGGAACTGTTAACTGTGACTATTATTATAAACTATTTTTCTTTAAGGCGATACGCATTTTGTTTATTTAAATTGACTTCCTCAGAAAGGAATTCCTGTATTGTTTGTAAATGGAAAAACTAGTTTAAATTTTCAAAAATAGGTTACCATGGAGGGAACCAGCAGTTAGCGTAATGGCTATGTCGCTGGACTCCCACGTAGTCGACCGCGGTTCGCGTCCTGGACCCGGTGGCTTAAAACTCACACCAGGCGCGTGTGTGTGCGTGCCCAAGATCCCGAGAGGAGAATGGAGGAGAAGGGACTGCGGCGTGACCATCCCCCCTGGGGGGTGATTTCTTGCTTTCTGTCTCTCTGTCTCTGTCTGTCTGGCGAGCGCATGCGCTCTATAGCAAAAAAAAACCTCTCAAAAAAAGAAAAAAAAAGGTTACCATGGAAATAATGCTCTATGTTAGAGCAAGCTTATATGATTGGTCTCTGTGCTATTCTCTGTTGAAAAGGAAATGAACAAAAGTTAAGGAGCATCAGAGCCTCATCACTAAACCAAGACTTTTCCTGAAAACGATCACAAAGCGCAAGAAAGGAAAGGCAAAAAGGAATAGTGTTCCCAGGGTATCCATTCAACACCAGTTTCTATGTCTGTGCACCCTCTAAAGTCACAGTGTTCTGCTAGTGCAGAGTACTTAGGGAACAAGGGACGACTGTGTAGGCATCAAGGAAAAGGCCTTTTAATGGCAACTGTGGCCTGCCCAATTCAGGGGCTCTTCGAAAAATGGCCCATCATCCACAGCCCTTATTAACTGGGTTGTGGAGACACCTAACCCAACAAAGCTTAACTTCTGGTGAAAACAGGAAATAAGGACCCGAGACTGAGGCCATTCTGTGCTAGGTATTGGAGTGAGAGTGTGGGGTTGGTTTAGTTATTGGCTTAGTTTTTTGGGTTTGCTTTTAGAATTATTCATTTAATTTTATTTATTATTATTATTATTTAGTTTGCTATAGGGCATGTGTGCTCACCAGAAAGAGCGCGAGAGAGAAGGTGAGAAAGCAAACTGCCAGGTCTGGACCTGAGCTGTGGTCAGCCATGTGGGAGTCCAGCACCTGAACCACCACACCAGGTGCTGGCCCCTTGCTTAGTTCTTGATTTCAGATCCTGTATTCATCCTGCTACAGTACCTGGCTGGTCATAGGGAGACGAAGAAAGAGAAAGTGAGGCAGGAGCACAGTAGGAATAATGGGTAGGAGGGAAGGTGGCTCAAGAAGCCAGAGTGAGAAGGTGGAATGAAGGAGGCTCTCCCCACATGGGAGAGGGGTGAGCCTTACCCAATGAGACTAGGAGTCTGCAGGTCTCCAGCATTACCTCCCGATACAGACTCTTCTGGGCCAGGTCCAATTGCCCCCACTCCTCCCAGGTGAAGGTCATGGCCAAAAACTTGAAGGTCATTGACACCTGGAAAGTCAAACAGAGACAGCCATAGTGGCCTTGGGACTATTGGATGAGAATAGAGTCTACTGCTTGGTAACTGCTAAAGGGGCAGAGACTTGAGCCCTGAACCACCAAGCATATTTACATGAACTGAGCTCTGTGCTGTGCTCATTGTGGGGCAGCTGCTGCCTTTGGATCAAGTGAAATTGAGCCAAAGAGAAAAGCCTTCAATGTAGAAAGCCTTTGAAGAATGACACAAGATTGGGACAAGCCAATGGAGACTACAAAATGCAGACAGTAAGTGCTCTGGTATGTAAAGAATGAGGAAATAAAGATGGAAATTTCAATAATGATAACAGCAGCAGCAGTTCAGCCTCACTGGTCTGCACCATGTGTTGGCGCCAGGCTGAGGGCCTCACATGCTGTGGTTACGTGTCTGAGAGTCCTAGCTCTGGATCCAGACGTCCAGGTTTTTGTCCAGCCTTTAGAAACCAAATCTTGCTGGGTAGATGACCTTGATGAAGTCACTTGATTAATCTGAATTTCAACTTCCCCATTGATACAATAATACTTTCTACTTGGTTAGGTTGTTATGAGGAACACGTCTGCATTCGCGGCTAAAGGCTTTCCTGAGAAAGCAAGCTGCCAGGTCTGGGACTAGAACCGTGGTAGGCCCGGCATTTGCCACATTTCTAATGACTTTCTTTTCACTGTGAATGGCTACCCTCATATAGAGGAGCTGTGTGGCTTCTTCTGTTGTGAGTGCCTGGTTCTGAAGAAGGCCTGAACTGGGAACCAGCAGTTAGCGTAATGGCTATGTCGCTGGACTCCCACGTAGTCGACCGCGGTTCGCGTCCCGGACCCGGTGGCTTAAAACTCACGCCGGGCGCGTGTGTGTGTGTGCGTGCCCAAGATCCCGAGAGGAGAATGGAGGAGAAGGGATTGCGGCGTGACCATCCCCCCTGGGGGGTGATTTCTCGCTTTCTGTCTCTATGTCTCTCTCTGTCTGTCTGGCGAGCGCACGCGCCCTATAGCGAAAATCTCTCTCTCAAAAAAAAAAAAAAAAAAAAGAAGGCCTGAACTGACCAGAAAGTACTTCCAAACCTCCCCACAGATAAAGGACTTCCCTTTTCCTGACCAGAAAGTACTTCGCAACCTCCCCACAGATAAAGGACTTCCCTTTTCTACGGGATCTGTAGCTCTTCGCCCATAAGGCCCTATACACTTCAGTTCTGAAGGGTTTATCTCAACTGTGCTGCAGCTGGTGAAGGTTTATGCTGAAAGAATTGTTTCCAACATGCCCTATCAGTGTATGGTTTTGCCTGGGATGTGCTCACCTATCCTCAAGGAAAGGAAAAATGTCCTTCAAGATCAAGATACATCTATCACAAGGATGGACTGAGTAAAGAGATCTGCCTTGGGAGTCCTGACCTGTGACGTTTCTTCTGTACAAATATTCTGCTCAGAATGTGCTCCCTCATCTTCCAGTCCGTGCCGATAATCTGAAAACGAAGAAATGCCAGTGAAGTGCATGCCGACTCTGGCGAGAAGAGGTAATGCCACCATAAATGATAAATGTGCATCTGTACACCAGCTGAGTGCGTCTACGTGAGCTTGCAGGACTGTTGTCAGGAGCAGGGCGTCCGGTCAGGCTGAGGAGGCAGCTGCTGCCCAGTTACAGTCTTCTGAAGTTGAGGCCTCACCAGGTGAAGGACACAAGGATGGCGTATAGCACAAGAGAAAAGGCGGGGTCTGCAGCTCATTCCTTTGCCATTGGTTTTCAGCACTTGTCTGCTGATGGCATGGGAGTGCCGGGCAAAAAGGTATATTCAGGCCTAAGAAAATGCAGTCGCGACAGAGCAGTTCACAGTCAGAGACTACTTAAGGATATACACACATTGGGGCCAGCAGGTAGCATAGTGGTTTAAGGTGCTGGAATCCCATATGGCTGACTGCGGTTTGAGCCTTGGACCTGGTAGCTTATTTTTTATATATAATTATTTTATTTTATAGGGTCTGGCAGGTGGCATGGTGGTTAAGGTGCTGGACTCCCACGTGGCCGACCATAGTTCAAGGCCTGGACCTGGTGGCTTACTTTCTCAGTTTCCTTTCTCTTTGTGTGTCTTTCTCTGGTCAAATTAAAATAATCATCATCATAATAATAAATTAAATATTTTTTAAAAACATTATTTTATTGGGAACCAGCAGTTAGCGTAATGGCTATGTCGCTGGACTCCCACGTAGTTGACCGCGGTTCACGTCCCGGACCGGGTGGCTTAGAACTCACGCCGGGCGCGTGTGCATGCGTGCCCAAGATCCTGAGAGGAGAATGGAGGAGAAGGGATTGCAGCGTGACCATCCCCCCTGGGGGGTGATTTCTCGCTTTCTGTCTCTCTGTCTCTCTCTGTCTGTCTGGCGAGCGCACGCGCCCTTTAGCAAAAAAAAAAAACCTCTAAAAAAAATCCAACCATTATTTTATTTATGATTATTACTTTTAATTTAATT